CTCATTTGTCACCCTATTTTAGTCTATAAATTTGTTTTACAATCATCTAAATTTAAAAATCAGTAATATAGAGTAAATGTATATTTAATAATAGGTAAGCGCCGCATGCTTAGTGCTTACAGCATTTATAACAAGCTTAACGTCATTAGATACTGAAAAAAATACTAAAAATCACAACAAAGAAATATTAATACATAACATAAATGTATAACAAAAATACTATTACTAATATTATCAATTTTATAAGATGTTAATTGTATTTTTTTTATTACTTTATTGAAATTATTTAATTGCTTGAAACAAATCGGCTTCCAGCTTGATTATTAAGTCGTAGTATCAGACGATGAAACATATTTAATATGTTAGGCTTATTTTACTTGGCATTAATTTTTAATAATAATAATAATACTAATGTTTTATTTCAGATATACAAAATGTAATCATATTTTATAATTATTTATAATAATAATAAAATAAATTATATCAATCTTGTCAGGACTAGAGCAATCAGTTAAGAAACGTGAATGTCCCACCCACTTGTATTGGGATCCAATACCTCGAATAGGACAGTCAAGCCTATCTTGGAATATCCTCAAGTCACCATTTGAGCTCTCCCGTAGTCTGCATAACATTGACACAGTTCGCTTCCTTATGATGCCATAAAATCTTTAACACCTGCTTCCGCAAACATGCTTAAAGCATTTCAATGCCCAGGAAGGCCCATTAGAATTCTTTCATCTCATATATATATATCGTCCTTTTTTGTACACCTAGCAAACCTGCAGGCAAGCATATTGCATCGGACGGCAAACGCGCGTCGCTCTCTCTCTCTATATATATCATTGATATCTGTCAGATATTCGTTAACAATGTATCCCAAATATTTAAACTGACAAACTTTACTTCATGGCACACCAAGGAGCTTTACTGGCGGCACAATCAAGAGCTTCTTACTGTTAACACAAAACACCAATAACTCACTTTTCTTGGTGTTATGGAGGATTCCATGTTCAGCAGCGTATGCTTCACGCTCAGTCTACGCAACGCACTCACTGGTGGACTCAGCAACTTCATGTCATCAGCATAACTTATATTATTGATCATAATTATGTCCGTCAACAGAACATCCCACACTTGTTCCACGAAGTGCACCAATGAGCCCGTTTACGTAGAGACTGAACAGCACAGGATAAGACAGCCCCCTCCCCTGTTTCACCCCGTGTTCTAACACATATTTGTCGGATAGTGCGCCAGACCACCTGACCTGATTAACTTGATGATCGTACCAATATTTGAAAGTGGTGATAGGTGCGGTTGGAATGGATATTTCACACAGTTTTGTCCACAGTAAGTCATAATTAATCAGGTCCCAATTTATTTCAAGATGTATTATTACATATTATAAAAATAAGAAACAATTTTTTGACAAATAGTGGTTAACCATTTTGGTTAAGATTTCATTTGCAGTGCGTGAATTTGTGGTCCCGTGTCATTATCGTAACTATTATGCATAGCAAATTTTAAATGAGACGGCGACCGGATTAATATTTAGCGCGGCCTATAAAATGGACTATTAATTTTTCGGTCACGTAAAACAATATAACACGGATCTATTGCGTAATTTATTCAAACATGGCTAAAATTCATAACTTACTTACTTACTTCACGCACAATCCCTAACGGGGTAGCCAGAGAGAACAGATCGCCAAGTGTCACGATCCTTACATACCTCTTTCGCTTCCTTCAGGTTCATTAACTTCTTCATACATGCACGTCTAGGTATCCGAGTACTCTTGACCCTCCCCTCTTCGAGCAATTTGCTCACATGGTCTTCTAAAGTTAGTCTCGGTCTACCTCGACACCTTTTAATATTTACTTTCGCTCTATATATTTTCTTCACCATTCGGTCTTCACTCATTCGTTCAACGTGCCCAAACCATTGGAGTACGCCCCTATCAATTTTTGTGATAAGGTCATCTTTCAATCCTGCCATATTGCGAATCTTTTCGTTTCGCTTTCGGTCGGCTAAGGTAACGCCACACATTTTACGATGAGAACGCATCTCCACTGCATTCAACTTGTTTTTATGCTTCTTCTGGCATACCCAGGTTTCGCTGCCATATAACAAAGTCGGTACCAACACTGCGTTATGTATTGCAAGGCGTGCACTCTTCACCACGCCTTGCCTCTTTACTAATGCATTCAGGACACCACTGACTTTGTTTCCGGCAGCGACACGCCTATCCACATCTAAATCACATCTTCCATCCCGGCTGAAAGCACTCCCCAAGTATACAATTTCATTTACCTGTTCTAGACATTCCTGATTTACCCATATTTCACATTTCGTTCTCTCTTCGTCCTTTTCAAATACTAGTACTGGTATTTGAATTCATAACTAATTCATAAAATATATAATTTCGTTTAAATAAAACAGTTTTTATGGATTTTATCGCGTATATTACCTTGCACTTTACAGCACCCATGGACACGGGGGGACTGATTTCGATAAAAATATTGAATATTTCAGTTCAAGTTTTTATTTTTTCAAGCATTACAGTTGTACTAAATGTTTAGTTTTCTGCCTTAAATGCCGAGCATACTTTTTTTTATATAGCATACTTTCGTATTGTGCATTGCTTCTTCTGTTGTCAAATATAACACTAGTTTGAAATAACAGCTCATGGTTTTGCTGTGTTTTATATACTGAATGACAAGAATTTTTGTTATATTCTTTGTTAGTCCTCAATATATAGCGCATCTTCATTTTGATTCTTAATTAAGGTTAGATATAGATGACTACAAGTCACAGTATCCATTGATCATAGGGTGGGTGGTCTCGTAAACTTTTATACAATGTCTGAAATATTCAACAATAAATACTTTGTTTTTGCTATTTATTTTTCTATATAAAGATATAAGTTTATTAAGTTATCACTATTGACACAGTGATTCTACAATTAATCAATTCAAAAAATTATTGTCGAAAAGTCGAAAACACAATTAAAACAATGTACAGTAAAAGTTTAAGTGAAGTTAAGTGGACAAATTGAAAATAAATTTTTCAAGTGGTCAACTTAACCTCACTTACTGCTATTACAGCATGTCGGTGACGCTAAATCACAAGATTTTATCTAAATCCAAAAAGTCATATATACATATGATGCAAAGTATATACAATGTATTAGTATACATATGCGTATACATGGTTTTCCACTACCAAAAATCACTCCAAGAAGTTTCCACTTCAAAAAACAAACATTATGAAATAACAGCCTCCTGGTGTTCCGTTATTGTAATTTTACCACATAAGGTAAAATTATAATTGGCTGCCTCGTTGGTCTAGTGGCCGTAATAGTAACTGCTCATCATGTGGTCTGGGTTCAAAACCCGGGTCGGGCCAGATTCAATGACTTTGACGCGACCCGAACAATGAGATTGATAGATCGCTAGTCACCGTTGAGACGAACCGCCGCATCGTGAACGAAATTCAGTCTGGAAGACATATTTATTAAAATTATAATAACAGTATATGAATTATTGCTTCTTAGTCTTACTGACTTCATTTATCTTTGGAAAAATCTTTACGGATACAAGGCGAATACTCATCGATCGTTTTTGTGACATTATTGCCGTAAATAAAAGTGATATTTTGGATTAATTTTAAAATGTTTTATGTTAATTATGTTGTGATTTGAAGCACAATAAAATTACTTAGATTTAAAAGATTTCAACCATTCTAAAGTTTTTTTCTTTACGAATTGTTAAATTAAATAAAACTGTGTTTTTCGTTATGAAAACTTTCAGACCAAAACCGTGTTTATTTACTCTTACAAACATAATGTCTTATTTAAAATGTTCATTATACATTTTTTATTTAGCAGAGCATCGTATGTTTTGCGGGAGCTGTCACACGCCTGCTGGAGTTGTTCATTCTTAAACACATTTTCAGCTCTCACCGACGTATAAATATTTATGAAAATACTGTCCGAATTAAATCCCGTCTCAACGTTACGACGTCGTATTGTTCCTCTTTTTGGAAAATGTGTTAGAAAATTCTGGTTAGATTTTATTCACCTTACAAAATAAAACTACTTCCCTCCCTACCATAACCTTTATTTACTTAGTTTTCTGCTTGTATTATAAGAAATTCCAATGTTGTTGAATATTAATTATAAAATTTTGCATTGACCTCTTAGCAATTTAGCATTCAACCTTATCTCATTATAAATGAACACGATAACTGAGTCTCAAATTCAGGTTCCGAATTCAGAACCTATATTTGTAATAGAATCCACGATATTACATCATTCCGTATTGTAACTGGCGAAATAGAGAAATCAATCTAGTTAGGCAGCAACATCTTATTGGTTGTATTATCTCTCCCCTCATTCAGAGGGCGCTAGTTGCCACGGTTAAGATCAGCTCCGTGTATTTTTGTTATTAAAATTATAAAACAGCTCGGATAAACTAAAATATTAATTTAGTGCAAAGTAAAAACCTTATTAGTTGTGTACAAGTGTTATATCGTCTTTTCATTCACGAAATGTGCAGGAAATAACGATATTAAATACAGTTTGTTGTCACTATAAATAATATTAATTGATGTGTTAATACAAGTTAATAAGTAAATAATAAAGTTCAGTGTTAATAACATTTGTTACTAGCAACATGTTAACGTAAACCTAAGTGCAATAATAAATTAATAAATTACTATATACATTAAGTGTATTTTGCAAAACTTTTTATCGTGTGAAATTTGACGGTTGTTTTAAAAACTTTTAGTTTCGATTTGAATTAATGTCGTTGATCTCATCTACAAGATTATAAATAACGCCATCTATGTGTTTGTGCTTATATTGATGACAAATTATGGTTCTCTAATATCGATATTAATAATTGCAATCCTTGATACTTACAACGATCGAGTTTCCGTGCCACAAAAAGGTGGCGCTTTTGTGCTTGGAGTGTACAACATTACAAACTACAACTTCTTAAAAATGAATTGCGCTGGTTGTAATACAATCTGCAAGCCGGGGCCGCGGCTGCTGAATTGTCATGCCTGCGATGGAATCTATCACATTGAATGCCTTAATATTAAGCAGCAACAATATTCGTCACTGACAGAAGAATTTAAGGCAGCCTGGAAATGCCCTCGTGCAATAATGTTACCCGTCGTGGACAATCCAACTTGCTTAAGCCCGTGCGATACACTAACTGTATTCAAGGAGAATATCAAGAGCTCACTACATGACTGGCGAGATGAGATGGAGGCGAGTATAACTAAACTTAATGATGATTTAAAATTTGCTTTGAATGGATTCAGGGAGGAGATATGCACCCTTCGTGCTGAACATGAGCGTCTAAAGCATCAAACTGTTGATATATCCCATGATGTCTCAGAATTAAAAGCATCCATGCAGTTTCTTTCTGGGGAACAAGACGATTTCAAAAAAAAGTGGACGGCACAATACGTCAATCTACCGACCAATCTAGCCTAACCATTAGTAACTTGGAAACTAAAATCGATTACCTAGAGCAACAAGCAAGACAATGCAACATCGAAATCTGTAATATTCCTGAAACTCGCAGTGAAAACTTGTTAAACATAATGGGATCGATTAGTACGGCTATTAACTTTCCAATTTCTCAGAAAGATATCCTGTCAATCCATAGAGTTCCCCATGCTCACCGTCAAACAAATAAGCCCAAGAATGTTATTGTGAAACTTTCATCGCGCATCCTTCGTGACAACGTACTAGCGGCTTTTCGTAAGGTGAAAACTCTCAAGACCGACCAGCTAGGTCTCACCGGATCGACAGTGACCGTATATATGAACGTAATCTTACACTGAAGAAAAAACAATTATTTCGTAAAACCAGAGATCTCGCCGCTATGCACCAATACAAGTATTTCTGGGTTCGGAATGCCACTATTTTGGTGCGCGAGCAAGATGGTGATACTGCTTTTGCTATCCGCACAGCTGATGATCTTCATAAGATCAAAAGCCGTACTAAAGGTGGTCATAAAAGCCCATGTGGTGGCTCTACTCAACATACTCAGTAATAACAATACTTTTCATTATTATCGTTATTCTCTCCACCATATATCTCGTTTAATTTCTTTATTATGTGTCATTCTGTATTACACGTTTTTATTAATGATTTTTTTCGTTCTCTCATCCAAAAATGCAAAAAAAGTCAAATTATATAATTCATACTTTTGAAATAAAATGTTCCTTACACTATGTTACGTTAGTAGGGTTATACCCGTTTTTGTACTATTGCATTATGTTACACTTTTTGAAATACTTATATTTATTTTATGAAGTATATATTACTATAAATAGTGCTATAATGAAATCATTTGGTATGATAACTGTATATATATGTACTAAACTTTTTTAAACATAAAATAAGTGTGCCTTAGGTCAAAATTAAAAATAATGCTCAGTTTAATTATAAGTTTATAAACTCATATACTTGTATTAATAAATTGTATGTTGATCCTAGGTTTATTATTATGCAATCGTCTTGGCCTCTATTTTGCCATATGTTGTTACACTTTGATAAGTTAGTTACAAACTTTTCAATCCTTTTAATTACTACGATTATGTGTTACTTGTCTGTTGTAGTATTATAATCTTTTTTAAAATTTATGAGTATGTCATAAATATGTCAGCCCTTGAATATAACACGTGTAAGTATGGTTGTTATGTTGTATATGTATCAACAAAATATTTTAACCAGTGGGCTGAAAAAGTGTGGAGTAATAATTATAAATTTTTATTGATTTTTTCATTTTGCGTGCATGTTTTGTAATTCTTAATTCTTAAAAAATATATTTTGAATCGTTTCTTCGTGGGGAATTGGAGGTTTGTCTTTGCTGCGTGACTTGTATACGAGGGTGGATTGAAAAGTACTCGGCCTAACCAAGAAAATAAACACATACTAAATCAGTTATATTTTTATTTTTCTACATAATCACCATCAAGTTCAATACACTTTTGCCACCTCCCCTTCCAAGCATTTAGACCGTTGAAAAAAAAATTATTCTTCCTTAGAGTCAAAATATGCGTCTACAGCTGCTTTGACCTCGTCGTTTGTCGAAAATCTTTGACCTCCCAAGTGCTTTTTTAGGTTAGGGAACAGAAAGAAGTCTGATGGTGCCAGATCAGGTGAATACGGCGGATGCGGTAACAGTTCAAAGCCACAGTTGTGAATTTCAGCCATTGACTGTACTGACGTGTGAACACGGGCGTTATCTTGATGAAACAGGACTTTTCTTCTGAGCACTCCTCGACGTTTTTCTTTTATTTCCTCTCGTAAACGACGTAGTAAGGTGCAGTAGTAATCAGAGTTTATAGTCTGACCCCTTTCAAGATAATCAATCATAATCACACCTTTCGAGTCCCAGAATACTGAAGCCATCACCTTATTTGCCGACAAAATCGACTTAGCCTTTTTAGGGGATGGTGAACCAGGTCCTCTCCACTGTTTTGATTGTTGTTTTGTTTCCGGTGTACAGTAATGAACCCATGTTTCGTCCATAGTAACAAAACGATTCAAAAAATCATCTGCATCGGCTTCAAATAACTCCAAACAGTCGCGTGAAATAGCCAATCGCGTCCTTTTTTGTTCAACTGAAAGCAGTCGCGGAACCCACCTCGCAGATACATTGTGGAAACCCAACTCGTTGAAAATGATGTTTTGAGTTCGTTCATAAGAGATGCCTATAATATCGGCTATCTCTCCAATTTTTAATCTGCGGTCTCCCATTATTAAATCAAGTACTTTTTTTAATATTTTCGTCAGTAGTTGACGTCGAAGGCCTTCCAGAGCGGGGTTCATCTTTCACACTCTCTCTACCACGTTTAAATTCTGCTATCTATTTTTTGACGGATGAATATGACAGAGCACAATCGCCTAATGTGCTGACCATGTCATCGTGGATGGCTTTTGATGATAGCCCCTTCTTATGGAGGTACTTAATGACGGCACGCTGCTCGATTTGCTCCATTCGCGGAAATTATGTCCGATTACTTTGTTAATAAATTTATAAAATCACAACTAATTGTCGCACACGTTTCGAACTTCACACAATGAACTAGTCTGAACTGAACTAAATAATGTGGGTAGATTTGATTTTTAGAATTGAATGGATCTGTGTTGGGCCGAGTACTTTTCAATCCACCCTCGTATTATATCATAATAAGGTAAAATATTCTTATTATTGTTTTAAAGACTTGAACATCGTAAGCGAAAATTTTAATATTACTGTTAATATGTACATGTTATTCTCAATTATTTGTAATTGGTAGCAAGCAATATTCTTTATACTATCAAAATTGCAGAGGTTTCCGAACAAAATTACACACACTATATATGAACATTCTAAACAGTAACTATGATATCATCGTACTCACCGAGACTTGGCTGATATCGGAAATTAGCAACAATGAGTTTATCGATCAACGTTATATTGTGTACAGGTGCGACCGTAATCGTATCTGTACAAATAAACTAGATGGCGGTGGTGTTCTAATTGCGGTATTGCGTACACTCAGATCATCTGAGTTAAATCTGTCTTTGACTAGTGTAAATGTTTGATTGCATAACCTAATCGAACATGTCATCATCGAAGTCCCTAGTAAGCAATCCTCAAAGCGCCATGTCTTCAGTGCTGCTTACATATCCCCCAAAACACCCTCTACCGTATACGAACTTCACTTTGAAACTTTACAAGAGGTACTGTGTGATCCTAATTTGGATTGTTTCTATATTTTGGCCGACTATAATCTCCCAGATGTAACTTGGACACGAGGAACCACAGACGCCTTACATGGCAGTGGAGTAGGCTCATCCGTTACCTTTAACCTATTATGTAATTTAATCTCATTTCTAGATGCCGCACAATACAACTACGAAGTGAATACCAAAAATACAATACTTGATTTATGCATATCAAACCGCTCGTGTAAGATATAGGCCGCTTTAACTCCCCTACTTCCTGTTGACGCATATCATCCACCCTTTGTTTGTGATATAGCTCTCAATGCTGATATTGTTCCAATGAAAAAGCGGACGCTTCAAAGGTACAATTTTTATAAGTCCGACTACAAGCACATCAACCGCAAAATAGAGTCCACTGACTGGGATGAAATACTTACTCCACTGGGATCTGAAGAAGCACTTAGCGCATTTTACGGAATCATTGAAGAAATTATCAAACAACACACGCCATTTGTTGGCTCCAGAACCTCTGCTTTTGTGGTCTGATTTTCGAAATCTCTAATTAGCACATATAGAAAAAAACGTAAAGCTTGGGTGAAATGGAAGAAATATAACAACATATCAGACTATGAGATGTTTTCCCAGTATAGAAAGTTATTTAAGGATATGTGTAATAAATTTTTTTCTAAATATATTGGATCGGTCGAGGATAGCATACACAAAAAATATTAAGGATTTCTGGGTATAAATCTCTAATCGTCGTGACAAACCTGGAATACCAGCTAAGGTTGAATATAATAATGATGTTTCAGGTGATCCACAGACAATATGCAACATGTTTTCTGAATTCTTCTCTTCCGTTTACGAACCGCCCTCACCTACACTATCGCAGTGGAGACCACCTTCCGATTCAGCATCCCATGACACTACTATTACTAATCTTCATTTTGAAGTAGAAAAGGTATTAAGAGAGCTGAAATCCTCGGATCCATCTAAGGGGCCAGGTCCTGATGGCATATCTGCTTATTTTCTAAGAAACACTGCCACAGTTATATGTAAACCCCTAACTATCATCTATAATAAATGCATTACTGATGGTATTATGCCTATAGTATGGAAACAGGCTAAAATCATACCTGTGCACAAGAGCGGATCTAAACGTAGTGTAGATCAATATCGCCCGATTTGTCCACTTTGTCGAAGCTTTTCGAGAGACTTGTGCATAACGAAATATATCCCATACTACACAATATCATTACACAGCAACAGCATGGTTTTGTACAAAAGTAAGCTTCAGTTAAGCATTCCGAAGTGTAAATATCTCCGTTTTACTAAAAACAAGAATATTATTACATTTTCGTACTCACTGTGTAACGTTCCTTTAGCTAAAGTGGATTCTATGCGAGATCTCGGTATACTGTTTGATTCAAAACTGTGCTTAGACTTACATATTGAACAAATTGTAAACAAAGCATACAAACTATATGGATTTATTATCAGATCAAATCGCGACTTCAAACGGACCTCTTCATATCTTTGTTTATATAAAACCCTAGTTCGCTCTCAACTTGAATATGCTGTGCCCATTTGGAATCCTTATTATAATAAATATATACACAAAATTGAAAATGTTCAACGCCGGTTTCTACGTGCAATGCATTATATATGTCATAAATCTTATTTACCGTATGACCAGTTACTCAGTAGATACAAACTTTTAACCCTCCACTCTAGACGTAAGCAATTGGCCTCTATGACATTGTTTCATA